TCAACATACAAAAACTAAGAATATTACACAAGTCGAGGAGGCTAACTAGGCCGTCGGAGTGTTGATTTCAGTTCTCCAAACCGGAGTTATTCTTCTATTTCAGGTGTCTATAAAAGGACTGCTACAAGATCTGCTTGGATAAAGGAGTATCCCAAATCCACTTCCCCACAATAACCACTCCTAGTTTCGACATAACCAATAAATTTGCATTTCCAAGTTTTACTTCCTAATTTATCCTATAAAGGTTTGGGAATAAGTACATGTGCTTTGCATCCCCAAACTTTTAGATGTAGAACATTAGGTTAGTACCATTCCAATATTTATAAGGAGTTAGAGGTTTGGCTTTTGTTTCAACTCTATTTGATAAGTACACAGCGATGGACAAAGCTTCACCCCAAAAATGAATGGGAAGGTCAGCATGAGCCATCATAGACTGTGTCATTTCCATTAGAGTACAATTTCGTCTTTCTACAATCCCATTTTGTTATGGAGTATAAGGCATTGTAAACAAATGTTTGATACCATTCTCCTGGCAGAAGGAATCCATAGCTTTATATTCGCCACCTCTATCATTGTTCAAGTTCTTAATGGACTGATCAAGTTGCCTTCCTACCTCTAATTTATATTCTTTAAATTTTTCAATTGCCTCTGATTTGTGTTTAAGAAGGTAGATGTGTCCATATCTTGAATAATCATCAGTGAAAGTAACAAAGTATTTCATGCCTCGATGAGTCTTAGTTCTTAAAGGGCCACAAATGTCAGAATAAATTACTTCAAGTAATTCCGATGATTTCCAGTGTTTTGAAAATGGGTTGCTAGTCATTTTTCCTTGGATGCATGGTTCACATGTATCAAAATCATCATAACACACTTTAGGCAATAGGCCACTTTTAAACATTCTAGACATTTTATTTTTATTAATGTGACATAATTTTAAATGCCATAAATAAGAACTATTACTAGTAGAAACATGCAAATAATTAAAAATACATACGCTATTATTATCAATAGGAAGAGAGTACATGTCAGTCACTCTTACACCTTTCACTAATACACTTCCTTTCTTGATCAACATTGTGTCAAACTTAAAATTAATCTCAAAACCTTTTTGGATTAACACTGGAACTGAAATTAAATTTTGTCAAATACTAGGTACATAAAGCACATCATGAAATACGATGGAAGATCCATTAATAGAGAATTGATAGTTGTCGATGCCCAAAACATCACTGTAAGAGTTGTTGCCCATATAGACTCTGTGTTCACCAATCCTCTTTTTTAAAAAATCTACGAGCATTTCTTTGCTTTGCACAATGTGTCTAGTTGCAACAGAATCAATCCACCATAAATTTGATGAAGGTTCAATTACTATTGCTTCAAAAACTGTCATGGCAATGGAATTATGATCCTTTTTCTGCTTGTTCTTAGGACAAATGGCTTTGATGTGACCTTTTTTACTACAATTGTAGCATAGGCCAACTTAATTTTTGTTGTGTTGTTGTTTTTTCCATCCTTGCTGCTTCTGCCACCCTTTGTGGAACCTCTTCTTCCATTTTCTATTGAAAGAAGTAGTCTTTCTCTTGTTAAATGGCGTGTGGGAATTATTCTGTGGCTGTGTTGAAGATTGTGCCATTAACAAGTTAGAAGAAAATCCTTTTTTGCGCCTTCGCTTCTTTCTTTCTTCTTCCAAAACTAAAAGTACAGGCAATGTTACCATTGAAATCTCTCGTCCGCTATGAGTTAGAGATGTGACAACATGATCCCAAGACAATAGAAGATTGTTAAGTATGGTAGTGACTTGCATCTTGTCTGACAAAGGGTAATCAGTATTGGATAATTCTTTAGCAATGAGTTCCATTTGATTAACATGATCACCAACACTGTAATTATCACTCATACGAGTGTTATTGTATTTGTCCAAGAGCAATATAATTTGAGTGTCTAATCGAACTCCATACGTACTTTCTAGTGCTTCCATCAATTGTTTTGCAATTTCATGTTCTTCAAATAGCGGAATAATGTTGTCTTTCATATTATATAACAAAGTTGCTTTTGCCATTGCATCATCCTCTATCCACTTGTTTTGAAACCAATTAGAATCATCATTTGGTTTATAAGTGGATAAAGGGTACAAAGTTTTCTTATGTATAAGAAGATAAGAAATGTAGCGTTTCCATGCTCAGAAATTATTTTCATTATGCATCTCAATTTTTGAAACATCAATACCACTTTTAATAGCCATTCCAAAATGTTACAATAAAAGGAACAAATGTGGATACAAAAAAATTAAATTAAATTAAATTAAACACAACAACAATTTTAATAAAGATGAGCCTTGTAATTGTTGAGTCGACCCCTGTGATAAGAAAAATATTGATTCAGCGAAGCAACGCGATTTCCTTGACTTAGGTAAAAAGAATGATAAAGACCTAGTGGCCAATTAAACCCAATCCTCTTTTTATGAGTCTTACGAAAACATGTACGAGCCCAAAGAACACAATTGCGCCTATTAAATGTTTTTATTTCTGATGTATAACACCCTTGGATAGCCTACTTCTCTGATTATATCTTTCAAAACTTCAGTACAATGATCCACAGAAAAATTCTTAAAAGAATTCTGGAGATTTTGGCTTTTGAATGATTGAAAACAACTTTGAAATGAACGAGAACAAGCCAAAAAACGACCCGAAAGTGGGTACAGCCGGTTCAAGGGGTTGGCTGAGCTGGTTTGAACTGACTAGTGATGAGTTGGTTTGACACGCGGGTCAACGCGCAGGTTAGAATGCGGAGCGAACGTGCATGGGTCAAAGCCAGAAAGGCGCAGGTCAGGGCCAACACACAGGTCGTCTGTCTCTGGGTCGTTGCATACACGTGGGTTATCACGCTGGGTGGGCTGTGACTTTGTTGCGCTGAATGGGGCCTTGGGCTACACCTTTGTTGCATTGGATTGGGTCGCCCTCTAGGTTGGCCCAAATTGATCCTTTTTAAGTCTGAAGCCTAGTGCAACAAATTTCCTTGCTGTGAGTCTTATTCTTGGACCCTTTTTATTTGGTTTTGAATCTGGCCCAATTCCTGGATTTTTCAAAACAGATGTAGCAATGGAACTGTTACTCTGATTGTCTTCTCCGGTAATTGGTGTCGGAGACCAAAGTTTAAAATTTGATTCCTTTGGGTCAATCTTTTGCCCTTTTTAACAACAAATTTCATCGTTGTGATCAAAATTCTGAGAAGAACAAGGTGGCGCTAATGTGAAGATGTTAATGGAACCGAAAATTATTTCGTAAAATTTCTTCCACCGGTATAATTTGGCTATACTTTCGGCAGTGTTCGGTACAATATCACCACCAACTGTTATTTTCTTTGAATATTTTTCTAGGAAAACAATACGTTGGTGATGATTAAATAAACAAACGGAATTAACCAATGCCGAAGCTTGTCGATCAATAACTCTTTGAATTTTTGGTAAAAAAATTTTGGAAAATTTTCGTTCTTCCGGACTGTAATTCGACATCTGTGATTATGTGTAAACACGGCTCTAATACCACTGTAAGATAAACTGAACAATGGCGATGATCGATAATCCTGTGAGAGTGTTTATCACGCAAGAAGAATACACAATCCGGACTGAAAACAGAGAGAGAATAAAGAGCAATTTCAAGTGGTTTGTTCCATTGTCTTGGCAATCTATTTATACCTTACATGATGCGTCTTTATCAAATGGATATCCAAACCCAATAGTCACAATGCTTCAAAGCATTTTGTCTTTGTATTTCAAATTCGAACAACTTTCAAAGTTGTTTCTTCCTGTGGGAAGGTTTAATTCTTTGGGCTATGATTTGGTGTGAGAAGGTCCGCTATACTATGTTGTGAGCACCTCTCATACCTTCATAAATTGGTTGTGTTATCATGTTGCGAGCATGTATGAAGAATATTTATAGTCTCAAACTTTTAAGTAAGTATGAATTACAAATCATGTATTTTTTACTCCCAACAATTATGTTGTAACGAAAATTCTCTCTTATATTTTTTTTTCCTTCATAAATTAAAAATCCAAACATATCATTCAAATATTTTTGCCATAATTTCAAACTGCTTTCAAAAAAACATTTATCGGTTGTTTAAATGTTACGAAATTTAAGGTTTCATTTTGAAATTTATATAAAGTACAATGATAACACTCTGTAAATGTCCAATTTTGTTATTTATTTAAATGCAGTGAATAAAGCCACTCTGTACTTCTAAAGAAAGGCTACAGTTTTCTTTTCTCCACTTTTATTTAAAAAACTAAACTAATATTTTATACATTCATCCTTTTGCAATTAGTAAATCCAAATATTGAGTGAAACGAAGGTTCTCTATATCCTTCAAGTTTAGAAACTTAATGCCATGAGCAAAAACAAAGCAAACAGCAAGTACAAAAAAGTCCAATGTGCTCTGTTTAAGGAATGTGCATTCGGCACGAGATTCTCTACCGTCAAATTTCTCTGATCCCTCCATCCCTTGCATTTCTCGTTGCTGACTCGTGTGAAAATATTAAGACAAAAAACCCTTGAGTCATAATCTTTTGACAGGAAATGCATTGGAACATAGATAATTGAGCGTAAAGGATACATGATCATGACTCATGTGCATTAGTCTTTGTACCATTCACCAATAACAAAAATGAACTCCATAGATGTCCGTTGTGGTAATACACATAGGAGAGGGAATGAACCTCCCTCTCAATACCAAAGAAAGCATAGAGGCAGTGTTGACAGAAGCAACTTGTATTAAATATTGACCATTAGGTACAACAGAGAACTTTTTGGGAAAATTACATTCAAAGAATAGATACAAATATGCTAAAAAAGAATCCACACAGAAAAAACCCACAGAAAAGAAAAACCAAGAGAGGCTACAGTTTTATTTTCACCTCTCTCATTAACTAAACTAGTATACACTCATCTTTGAAATAATATCTAAAAATTCTAATACAGTGTTCAGAGTAGAATGAACGTTCTCTATCTCCTTTGGAAGTTGAGGAACTTGATGCCATAAGCAAAGACGAAGAAGAAGAGAAGGACCCAACCAACATGCGCAAATACTACAGGAATGAGGAAGTCATATTCAAAACCCATGCTGTTTTTAAGGAATTCCTTCACTGTAGAGACTGACCCATCAGTGAAAGTAAGAGGACTGGTCTTGTCACCCACTTGCGATGTGAAAATGCCATAGATTGTCCAGGCAACTGGAGAACACCAATAGTACCACCTCCACCATATCGGGATATCCTGCAATGATTAGAGCACAAGTGTCATAATTATGATAATAATGACATGATTTCAAGTAAAAAGATATGTGGTATGACAAAAACAATAACAAAACTCCTCATACGGGTATATATGTGACGCTGAAAGTAGTCTTTCACATTATAGATACATACCGGCCTGAAGATGAGGAAACCAGAGAACAAGTTCCAGAAACTGAAGAAGAAGGACATGACAATAGCCGCAATTTGATGGTTAGGAGTCAAAGCCACAACCATCATTCCGTACATGGAGAAGTAGGTAAAGCACATGAATATGAAGTAGTAGAAATAGAAGAACTTGACTGCTGTCCATTCAAAGCCAATCATCGAGTAAAGGAGAAGAGCATACATAAGGGTCTGAATTACAACATAAATTGTTTCTATGGCCACCTGAAATAGAGAAAGTACGGTGTAAATATTGGATGTGGGAGACCATATATACACATTCTTCTTAGCCAAAAAAAGAGAAATGTGATGTAACGTCTTTTATCCTTTACCTGAGCAAACGCGTAAGGCAACTCTGAATACATCCCAGCTGCTCTTTCACGGTAAAATACTGTTCTCTCAACTGCTACAACGATTTGCACCGCATTAGCATTGGAGGCTCCGAGGAAAAGGATAGCAGAATAGGTAGCTCCAAGAAGATTAAGCAAGTCTTGTTGCTGTTGTCTGTTGACGAAAAATTATACAATTGATCTTCATGTCAGTATTGACGTCAATTGGTAATAATAATAATAATAATAATTACCAAAAATGTGATAATTAGAGTGTAAATGCCAAAATTATACACTTACATTTTGCTTCCTTTGCCCAAGAAGATAACACCAAAAATAATACCGATGACAATTGTCATGAAGAATCTGATAGCATTGTACTGTGAGTTCCTCCAGTATGACCAGTGTTGTTTCCAGAAGCAAGCCAAGCATTGAGTTAGGAAGGATTGCGAGTATTTGGTAGGGAAGTAGAGGTCATTGGTACCCGGTGCTGGAGTGCTTAGCTCCTTGATAAGTTCCTGATTTCTCCTGGAAAAGAAAATCATGAGAAATATCAGCACGCACTCGGACAACGAGAGAGAGAGAGAGATACAGAGATAAAGTGTAAAGGACTCAGTACTGTCTACAAACATACCGGTAGAGGTCAGAATTGGCATAAATTTCTGCAAAGTCAACATCAAGTTGTGCCTCAACTGCGGTAGAGCTGACGTCCAACATCCAAGTAGCTGGATTGTAACCCTCTGTAATCTTAGGAACCCCCGGAACAGCCTTAAGGAGAAGTAAGGTATTGTCAAATTTTGATTCATCATACTTCGAACTTTCAAATTGATAATAGATGACTCTTTAGAAACTAGCTATGGAGGAAAATGAAAACTGACCTCAAAATATTCAACAAGCTTGTGAGAATGGCGACCGAGAGGTCCAGCATATATCACATTCCCTCCTCTCTTCATCAATAGAAGCTGCAAGGAAGAAAATATTAATGTCACTTAGAGTGCACAAAGCGACAATGATGTTCATTTGCGGAAAATACAAAATCGAGTTCATACCTCATCGAAAGCTTCAAAGATATCTATGCTCGGTTGATGAATGGTGCAGACGACAGTTCGCCCTGTGTCCACCGTGTTCCTCACAGTACGCATGACAATTGCAGCAGCTCTTGCGTCAAGGCCTGATGTGGGCTCATCCATAAAGATGATGGAGGGATTAGCAACCAACTCAACAGCAATGGTGAGCCTCTTTCGCTGTTCAGTTGAAAGACCATTTACTCCTGGAAGTCCAACTAGAGCATTTTTCAAGGTATTGAGCTCAACAAGATCCATAACTTCTGCCACAAACATCTACCATAATAAAGAAACAAAAAATTTCGCATTAATTGGACCAGTTTTAGCATAATATAGACCACATTGAAATCTCATAGTGACACATACTCAAGCAATTCAGTTACATACCTGTTTTGTTTCTGTATTCACATCCTTAGAAAGACGCAGCCAGGCAGAGTATAAGAGAGATTCATGGACAGTAACAAATGGTGAATGGATGTCATTCTGTTCACAATAACCGCTGACTCGAGCAAAAGTTTCTTGATTCTTTGGGTAACCTGAAATGCTTATGTTTCCTTCAATATACCCTCCGGTCTTTCTCCCTGCTAAGACATCCATCAATGTGGTCTTTCCAGCACCACTGACACCAACTAGTGCAGTTAGAATACCAGGCCTGAAAGCACCACTGACATCTCGTAATAGTCGTAGACGGGTTTCGTCGACTCCCTGACTCTTCATTTCCTGATATAGAGAACCAAATTTTAATTTAAATGCATTATTTTGGTTGAAAATCTATACAAGTTACCCAGTTCAGCAGCAAAAGGTTGAATTGAATTGATTTTTTTTTTTTTAATTGCAACCAAAAGAGCAATAGACGAGTATTTAATTAAATTCATGTAATTTTTTCCTTTAAAATTTTGTTTTATGTTATCACATGCTCAATATATGAATCTTCAGGTTGAAGTGACTTACTGCAGGCATATCCACATAGTAATTCACATGGTCAAATACAAGTGAAAGGGGGGCAAAAGGCAAAACCATTCCTCGTTTAGATTGATTTGCACCATCAACATTTGAGCTGGTGCTCCCTTGAGGATTTCTTACAGCCATATCAATACCTGTAATTATCCATGAGCTGTGTTAGTTGCGCAAGAAAACCAAATGAATGGTGAATTTTCAAATTAGGGTTTGCAAGATGCCGAACTTAAAACCACGAACCTTCACCGTTGGATGCCAGTTGCCGCTTATTACTACTTTCATCATCTTCCTCTTCTGAAATTACAGCCTTAGAATCTCCAAAAGCTGAGATCAAATTTGTTCAAAAGGAAAAAAAAAGGCAAGATCAGAACACGGATTCTTCTACAACAGCATAAACACAAAAAATTAATAAGCAAAAAATGTTAACTTACGATTCAAATATGTCAGTGCAGCAATGAAAAGACCATTGAAAAGCAGTGAATATGCAAGAAGCGCTCCGATACAAATCCAGTACCAATATTCCGTCCGAAAGAGCCCTCTGCTCTTAAGAATAGTTTTTCCAACTGAAAGCTGGGAACTACCAGCGGCGGGCTGTTCCAAGAAAAAATATAAAATTAAATAAGTTTGTATATTGTCCTGCCGGGAAACAAATGTGGAATCATTACAAAGAATTAAGAGAAGCACTTACATTGCTCCATCTTTTATCGAGAAATTCATTGATCGCAATGGCGTTTTGTCCGTACATCATAGGAGAAATATAGTAGCCCCATATCATCCATGGTTTAATGTCATCTTTGGAAACAACGAAGCCACCAAGAACAAAGACCAATAGCAAGGTGAAGGAACCCATTGTGTTTGCAACAACAGGAGTTCTTCCAGCACCAGCAAGGAATCGGAAGATACAGAGATAAAGTGTAAAGGACTCAGTACTGTCTACAAACATACCGGTAGAGGTCAGAATTGGCATTCGGAAGAGTGAGAGAGCCATCTGATGCACACTAAAGAAGGACAGAAACTGTTTGAGGAACCTGAACATTTTGAGGATAAGTCAAAAAAAGTTAATTAGGTTTCGGAGTCCAGTGATTGTCGAACCAACAAAACAAAACTTATATGCTGTAAAAGAACTTCAACTTACCTAGTAATAGACGGTGCAAACCCAATTGTATAATAGGTAAGTACGATCCATATCGCAGATTCCATGAATGAAACAGGAATTCGGAGGAGCCAAATTGGCAAGCTAAAAGCCCATGCAGGGAAAAACAAGCTATCCCTCTGTTTAAAGAACACGGGAAGCCTGAAAACCGTCATTGCTAGCTCTGCCATCCCATTGAACATTATATTAATAAGACTGAAAAACAGCGCCCCCATATACTTTCCAGCATCTTCTACTGTTCCAGTTTTCATTTCTGTTCTTAAAAAAACAGTGAGGGCAATTGTGGCCATGATTGTTATCTGAGTGGTTTTGAATATGTATGTGAAAGAGTTGCGCTTCATTAGCAGCCACTCCCTCGATAAGCATGCCTTGAAGAGTTCCCGATTGGAGATGCCATAACTCTCAGTCACCAAAGCAGCAGGGTGGGCTTTGGACTGGTCATAAGGAATTCTAAGTTCTTCAGTTATCTGTTGCCCGATGTGGAAAGAGTTGAAGGCCTGTGCAAAGTCGTTCACCGAGACATATCTGTAAGGTTGGTTCTTTTTGAACCAATACTGTTCTTGGTCCTTCTTGGAAGTTACTTCTTGGAGAAAATCTGCAACTCCTTTCCTTTTGGGGCATTTGAATCCCATATATTCAAAGAACTCAAGAATGTTCTCGCGTGGACCTTGATACACAATCTGGCCTTCTGAAAGTAGGATAACGTCATCAAAGAGATTAAATGTCTCAGGCGCTGGTTGCAACAGAGAGATGACCATGGTCACATCCATTGTATGAACCATTTGCCTCATGAACTTGACAATCTGGAAAGTGGTGGAACTATCCAGCCCCGTCGATATTTCATCCATGAAAAATGCTTTTGCTGGTCCAACCAACATTTCTCCTGCATCGAGGACAAAAAGTTCCGTTTAGAACATTCAGAAAATAGTTATGAAGTTAAAACATAATACGATGCGTTTGACCTAAACCACAAGATACATATCCTGAAGTTCTAGTTAGAACGTTAGAAAATAGTAATGTAGTTAAAATACACAAAAGTATGAATTCTGACCTTTTGAGAAAAAAAAGAAAAAATTATGAAACATGTCTATGAATCTTTTTTTTGTTAATGTTATCATAACACACGTAGACCAATTTGTGTATCTCCATTTCATGATCAATAGTTGTGAAAGATCAACCTCAAGATATCTTTATTTTAACTTCATAGATGGTTAAGAAAATTTTAGAACTTATAATGGCATAGTAGTTGTAGACTGTTGCTTAATAGATTTTGATGTTGAGTTGCAACCTTATGAAATGAAATGGAGATCTTCATCCCATCTAGGAAATAGCAAGGATCAATATGCATCCACGAATTTCTTTCTATAAAATTTCAAAACTCTTTATTGAGTTTACACATACCGGTAGTGACACGCTTCTTTTGTCCACCAGAAATGCCTCTTCTCATGTCATCACCCACCATAATATCAGAACAAATATCCAATCCAAGTATCTGTTAAAAGGATGATGAGATTTTAGCATTGTCAAATAAGAGAACATAGTATAGACAATGATATTATGGAAGCAACAGACCTTGAGAACATAATCTGTGATCAAACTGGTTTCTTGGCCAGCCACAGCTGTGGCTTTCATGAATGCATCGATCTCAGGGTCGGGCTTAATACCCGCTTCTTTCTCTCGTCTTGACAACTCTACCAACATTTCATACCTCGTTCCAACTCCCAAGCAACGTCCTGAGAAATCTAATGTCTCGCGAACTGTCATTTCACCATAGTGAAGATCGTGCTGGCTGATATAAGCACTCGTTCTCTGAGGAACAAATTCCTTAAACTCTTTGCCACAGTAGGTCACTTTTCCAGATATCTGTCCCACAACCCCAATATAATCAAATTATCAATATGTAGAAAAAAATACCATGTAGGAAAAGAAATGAATACATGGAACCAAATATAAAATTGGGGAGAGAAACAAATTGGGAAAATTTAGAGAGCATGACAAACCTTTAGATCATCATCGGATTTCCCTGCGATTGCCTTTAGCAATGTTGTCTTTCCGGAGCTAGGTGGCCCAAGAAGCAGTGTCATCCTGACAATCAAGAAAATAATAGTTCAATGACTGAAGGATATTTCAGAAAACTTCTATTTGGTAGCGTTTTGGTTTTTTGTTTTCTATCTTCATTTGCTTGAAAGCATAGGAACTTGTTTGGCGAACTGTTTCTGAAAACTCCTTTCACAAAAATTTTCTAGTAACAGCCCAGTTTTAGAAAATTTTTGGAAACTTTTTTAAGTGCTCCAAACTATATTGTTTTCATTTCCAAAATCACAAAGAAAAAATAAAATGAAGGTATTTGGATTATATTTTTGGAGACCAAAACTTTCTAGTTTCCTGTAGATCAATCAATCAAAAGAGATGAAGCTAACATTAAGGAATTCATGAACCAACCTGGATGGTTTTATGACTCCACTGACATCGTGAAGTATCTTGATAACCCTTTTCTTAGATCGAGAAAGTCCAACCATTCCAATGATTCCCTACTCACATTACAATTCAACATAAAGAGAACAATCTTCAGATATCACATTATTAAATTTAAGATGATACACTGCACTCACAGAAAGCTTTTTAAGAGAAAATAAGCAAATTTTCTGCATAGTTTTCAATTCACACAGCAGATATTTGAATTTTACAAGTGCTTTTAGTATTGATTTCTCTGAAATTGTGAAGTAAGAACAAAACTCTCTGTTTTTCTTTACCCTGACATTCATTTCAAAATCCACTACATATCAAGAGTAATTTGAATTACATGATGAAGTTGAATAAAGTGTGAATTTGACTGAATTCATATGAAAAAAAAAAAAAAAAATTGGTGAGAGTGAGATATAGAAGAAGAAATAAGTACCTCAATAGCATTCATGGTGGAATTGAGGAGAGTTGGAAGAGCTCTGGTCCCAACATATGCATCTCCTGCCACTGATAAATTCTGGAACCTCACTTCAATCTTTGGAATTTCTATTCCCACTCTGTTTTCATCAAAACCCAACACTCAATTTAATTTCAATAAAATAAAAATAAATACTATTAACAGAAGAAGAGTAATGATCATGTTTGGGTATTTTAGGCCTACAAATTCGTTTTGTAGCTCAGTGCAAACCCTGACTTAAATAAACGAGTTCAAACTAAATTTTTAAGATCGTTTAATAATCGAGCAATTTAGAATAGATTGAAATTTGTGAAACACAACGACATAAATTATTATTATTTTTAAAGATATATCAAATAAATTTTTATTATTCTATTTTATTTCTCTAGTCATGTTTGGTATTTGTGCAATTTACATATTTGATTAATCAAATTTATTAATAACATGAGCTTTTTATTATATTTTGTCTATAATCTTTTATTTTTTTCATAATATGCATATTAAGTTATTTATTTTTTCAAACTTAGTCCAACTCAAATGTCTTAAATATTTGATAAATTTTTCAATTCAATTTTTGAAACTTGACATGATCTTGGCTTGAATTCAAAATTGACTAATATTTAACAAGTCAAGTTCCAATACTAATAAAAATAAAAATTGTTTGTTAGCGAAGGAAGTGCATGGAAAAAACACAATAAAACATACCTCTTTTGTTTAACAGAGTTCAAATTTTCATTTTCTCTCCATTTTCTTGGCGAGTATTTATTTTAAGATCCTCAAAACTCAAATTAAGGATCCATTTGGATAGATATTAATTTCAAATAAATAGATTTGAGAACAATAACTCAAATTATAAAAGGTTAGTTATGAATTTCAATATTAAATTGGATTTGAAATTTCTATATAAAACTAATTATTTGAAATTATACTAATGATTCACTTTCTAACTATAAGAATTATACAAAATATATCTATATTTATTTCTATCTAAACTTATCTTGTTCTAATGCTGTGTTTGTTTAGGAGATGTGCTTGGTTGGAGAATTTGAGAAGCGATTTAGAAAGAGAAAGAAAAAAAATGTGTGAAATGAGGTATATTTTATTTATATTTCATTTTTTTTTTTCTAATTCCTTTCCTAAATCCCTAACCAAATACAGCGCAAAGCATCTCCAATCCTTATCGTTTTCTTCATCAAATTTTAATTTAATAATTCATCAAATTAGAATTTAATAAAATTTTCAAATATATATATATATATATATATACTTCATATAAAATATCCCTAACAAACAGTGTAACGCATCTCCAATCCTTATCCTTTTTCTTCATCAAATTTTAATTTAATAATTCATCACATTAGAATTTAAAGAAATTTTCAAAAAAAAACTTCATATAAAATCAAGTTTTCTACTTAAATTTGAAATAAAATTAGCATCTCCAATCCTTATCCTTTTTCTTCATCAAATTTTAATTTAATAATTCATCAAATTAGAATTTAAAGAAATTTTCGAAAAAAAACTTCATATAAAATCAAGTTTTCTACTCAAATTTGAAATAAAATTAAATGAAAAAAAAATGATAAGAGATTAGAGATCTGGATCTGAAATCTATTTGGACAGAGAAATTTACCTATCGGTACGAGCACGGAGGCGATTAAGGAACTTCTCATTGTCATCTTCAACAACTTTAAGAATACTCTCCATGAGCTGTTTCTTATCTTGAGGACCAAGGTTAGTCATATCAACCTCATTCCGAATCACTCTTCCATGGCTTGTGACCTGCTGTAACATCCCTTTCCTCACCCGATCATAAGTCGGCAACCTCTCAATGGCAGCCCACTTGAGCTCCTCCTCATCATCCACCTCGTCATGACGCCGCGTACTATTCCTCTCAAACACGTCCGATGACCCCTGCCACACCTCTCTTATACTCCCCGATCTCCAACTCCGGCTACTCCTGCTACTCCGGCTACTCACCGCTCTCACCAATCCATCTGCCACGAATGGCGCCGACATTTTTTTGATATCAACAAAATGAATCAAACTCAGTTTCAAATATCACCTCCACAAATACACCAACCCAACACACCAACACCAACACCAACACCAAGCACACCAACCTGGTTGGTGTAAATGAATTTATGCAATTTTTATGAACCAATTTACAGTTGTGTTTTTGGGGTTTTGAGATGAGAAACTGTGGGAGGATGGATATTTTTGGAGATTGAGGTGCTTTGTGCTGGGTTTTATACAAGAGTAGAAGTCTGTTGAAAAGAGGGAGGAGATTTAGGGGCATCAAAGACTTGAAGATTCAATTTTTTATTTGTTTTTGGAATTATTTTAATGTTTGTGATTAGACTGGTCAAAATAAGGGAGTGGAAATGCAAAATAATTAAAAAATTCCATTGGTGGACGCAGTCGAATATGAAACGTTGAAAATTGAAAAGGATGAGGAAATGTAAACCTGGATCGCCTTCTAGATATACGGCCTGGATTGCTTGCCACCGAGGACGGGGTGATTAATATTTTTAATACAATTTTTAAAAAATAGCCTTTTCAGTGTATTTTGAGTTTTTTTTTTTTCATTTGAGAATTTAAATAAATAAATAAAAAATACCAAACAACAACACTATGTTTGATTTGGTTTCAAAAATTTATTTTTAGTTCTAAAAAAACAAACTACAAACTTTTTTTTGGTGATAAAAGTGAAAGAATTAAAAATACTTATTATTTTCATCTTATGTTCTTTTCTTTTCTTTTCTTTCTATTTATTTTTACCAAACTTTTTTATATTTAGTGAATTTTTTAAAGATTTTTTCATAAATATTATATTTTTTAAGTATATTTATGTTAGATGTGTCTAAAAATTAAAAAAATTATTTTAAATATTAAGAAAATTAATGAAAATAAAAAAAATACGAAAAATAAAAAATAAAATTTTTTCAAAGATGAATTCTGAAAACTGAAATCAAATCTTATATAAAAAATTACAAAGAAGTTAAAAGAAGGAAAAATAATTATACAAACATAAAGATACGTATAAGCCTTGTGCTGATGCAATTAAGACCACAATTTTCATTTAAATAGGAACACAAATTTACTTACATTTCAATATTTTTTTAAAAAAAAAAATATTTTCACTGATTTATAATTTTTTCTAATTTTACCATCCAATAACAAACAATGTAATGGTAATTCCATTAAGCAATTATAATATTATTAAATTATTTTTAGTTTGACTATTATGTCTCATCATCCTATAATTTGTTGATTGTAAGATCATGGTATCGACATTTGTGATTTTGGTTGCAACGGGTTGACATGTGTTGTGGATGATATCAGAATATTACTGTATTGTTTTATTTAATTAAAAGGATTTTTTTATTATTATTATTAAATGGGGAAGATTATATTGAGAATAGATAATTAATTTATTAGGTGCATTTTGTTGACCAGTTTGTTTTTGAACAATTTTTGTTGACTAGTTGAAGAAGCTTCTCTTGAAAATGTTGTTAGATCCACGGATTGTTGGAGCGCGTGGCCCATAAAAAGCGCCTTCTACTCGGAAATCATATGGTGGTAAGCTTTTATAATTGGAAAGAATAATGCTTGGGATCCCCTTTTGGGGGTCACCCCTCACCCCTTTTGTCACGTGGCGGGTGGTGATTGGAAGAGTAGGGAAAAAAAAAAAAGAAAAAGAAAATGTAACCAATAAAAAAGAAAGGGGGTCAAAAGAGGTGAGGGAAAAAAGAAAGATGAATCATTGTTGAATTAGAAAATGTTATAGAAAATTATTCTTATAATTATAAAAAAAGGATAATGTCCCTGACCCCGTGGGTGACCCCACCACTCCCGTTGATTTTTAATTGGCTCAAACTTTTTTTATTTTTTTAGTCTTGTTCTCAAGACAAGACATGTGAAGCTGGAATGCTCGGGTCACTCCCACTGGGGTCCCAAGCACGATTGTTATAAAAAATTTAATAAATAATTTAAGTTTATAACATTATGTGAGAGTTAATAAAAGTTCTTATGAGCTCTTAGAATTATTCCTATTATATTATTTTAATTTTCTTCTGTTTTAAATATTAAAAATTAAAATGAATTATAATCATCATTTTTGAATTTTAGAAAAAAAAAGTATAATTAATCTCATATTTTTGATATAGTTATACTAACTTTTGTTTTTATAAAATTAAAGTGATTGAAATTAATACACACGGTGGATGGACACTGAAATAAATAAAGATATACATATATATTAGTAGAAAAGATATGATAATAGTGTCAATTTTTTTTATTCATATCACTAACAAATAAATTATATAATTATTATGTAAATCAAAATTTTAAAATATTAATTAATTATGTCAAAATGCTTCAAACTATGATAAGTGTATTTTACCTTAAAATTTATTTTATATTCAATTACCATCGACACTACTACAACGACAGTGGCCCACCAAGAGAATTGCTCCCATTTTAGGAGTAAGGATCCTCTAGAGTGATTTTTTCTTAAAATTTTTTAAAGTGCTACAGTGTATGGTTGAGATTTACTGGCAAGTCACATCAATTTTTCTGATGTGACTTGCCAATAAATCTCAACCACACAATATAGCACTCTAGGAAATTGTAGGAAAATTTCACTCTAGAGGATCCTTGGTACCATTTTAGTGGGGAATCTATTTGGATTTACTCATGTGCATGTTCTAATAAGTAAATTTATTATTTAATAAATTTTATAAAAATAATTTGTCATAAAAAAAGTTATTAATTGTAAATTTTAGTGATAATTTATAAAAATTATGATAAAAAAATCACTAATTATTAATTTTTAGCAACGAATGTAAAAAATTATCACAAAAAAATTATTTTTAACAACAATTTTACCATGACTTATTTTCAATAAGACTTAATAAGAATTAAGTCTAACTATTAGGACCTATTGGTAGTTTACCCTTCTATTTACACTAAAACTTCTAAAAATCATTAAGTATTTCTAATTTCTAAATACATCTTGTTTAATTATTTAAAATTTTATTTTACTCTCATTACACTCTATTATTTTTTACAAATTACTCTCAAGGTAAACCTAAAAATAAATAATAAACAAAGTAAAAAAATTAAATTTTTCAAAATTTTTCAATATAGAAAACAATTCTCAAATACAGGAGAGAAAAAAAATCAACCTCATACGCACATAAGCATTATAAATAAATAAATAAAAATAAAAAAAAACCAAGCTTTTACATAAGCATTATAAAAAAATTTAATACAAAAAAAAAAATACATTAGGAATTATCCACAAGAATGCTCGTGGAAAAAGTAAAAACCAAACTTATAAGCACATAAGCATCAAACACTAATAAAAAATAGTAATTCTCAAATAATGTACTATTTAAATAACAAAATAAAAATAACTCCAATAATATGTTATTGTTAATTTAATTATTGGGCCCTTTAATTTTTGTCAAAAAAACTATATAAAAAAAATAATTGATGTTACTCTACAAAAATTGTGAAACCCCTGTATATGAATACTTACCTCATTTTTAATGGGTTGTTTCAAAAAATTATTTTGATTATTACTCACATCCATTATTTGATTTTGTTCAAACTTTCTTCTAGGGTTTAAGGTTTCAAAATAATAAAAAACAATGATGTTGATGATGATGGTGAGTTTTGGAGTGAAGAAGAAATAATTTTGATCTCTTGAGGAAGAAAATACAGAGATTTAAATAGAAATAACTGATTAAGGTGTACTATGAGGAAAAAAATATTTTGGGATTTAATATATGTTGTCCTTATTAGTAAATTCATATTAGGATATATTATGAATTAAAATTTATGAATTTAAATTAGGCGTACTGAGACATATTTTGAGTTTAAATAGAAAGTAGAGTAGACGTGACAAATGCGCGGTTCAAAACAAGTTGTTACACATTTAAAGTAATCTAATTTAAATTTGTCCATTTAATAAATGGGTTTAAACAAATTGAATTAAACTGAATATGAATTAGACAAATGAACTCAACTAATCTGTTTACTATATCTTTTTTTTTTCTTTTTCTTTTTTTTAAACGACAGTGGTGATGGTGGTAGTGTGTCGGTAGTGGTGGTGGTATGGCAGCGGTAGTGTGTTGACGGCGGTAGTAGTAGTAGTGGTGTGGCAGTGGTGGAGTGGCGATAGTGATGGAGTGACGACGATGGTGGTGGTGGTGATAGTGGTGGAGCGGCAGTGATACTGGTGGTGTGTTAGCGGTGGTGATGGTAGAGGTGGAGTAGTAGTGGTGGTATAGTGATAGAGGTGGGTTAGTGGAAGAAGTGGTGACCATTTAGACAAACTTAAAGTGGATACTCATTTCAATCTATACAAACTCAATTTTAATTGGATTGATAGTGATCAACCCATTTAAGCCATTTATCGATTTGGGCGAGTTTATATGAGTTTTAAATGAATATAATTGGACAAGTTCATGAATTTGGATAGAATGTATAAGGTTACTTAATTCAAAAAATACTATAATTTTCAATAATAACAGAGTATTTAAAGATGATAATTACATTCACTATCTTAAAAAGAAAAAGAAAAAAGAAAAAAGAAAAAAAAAAGAAAAGAAAGAAAGATATAATAATTACACTACGTTTAGAGTGCTCCTATTAGCACCTACATTTCTTCTTTGGACTCCCAAAATTTTTATTTTTTTTAATTCTAATTTTGTCCAAACCTAAAATTACATTTTTATCCTCATCCCTAACAATCTAACCCTAATTTCCTAACTAGCCCTAACCTACCTTAATAGTGATAACATATCAGTCAACGGCCCCCAAATTGGCTTCATTACCCATAGCATTCATGGTGGAATTGAGGAGAGTTGGATGGGCTCTGGACCCAACATAGGCATCTCCTGCCACTGATAAATTCGAGAACCTCACTTCAATCTTTGGAATTTCTATTCCCACTCTGTTTTCATCCAAACCCAACACTCAATTTAACTTCAATAAAATAAATAAAAAAGAAAAAATAGGAGTAGAGCAAGTCACCACTTATGGATGTTGTCAAATTTTGTTCTTATACTTTCAAAATGGATGAATAAAATAAAAATTTTCTTGTCTTCAAAATGAATAGGGTTGAGGAAGAAATTGTATAATTTGTAATTTGATCCGGTTCAGTTCAATTCGGTAGGTTTGGATTAGTTTTTTGAATCCGTGATTGGAAATTCAAAAATTCATAAGCCACGGATCGGTTCCGAATTGAACTCTATGGTTTCGGATTAGAATCGATCCGGGCCGTATACAAATAGTCTATATT